CCGGGAAAGTCAATAATCGACGCCAGGTCCTGACCCTGTAACCCGGGGTGGCTCTGCCATAAGACGGTGTCGCGTGGTCTGTTCGCGTCGAATCAAACCGCAGTTGGCAGCATGTGGCATGACACGCGCAATCTGGCTTTGACATCCGTCCCTTCGTGCTCCCTGAGGGTTGGAACAGCCCCGATTTCATCCCGAGGGATTGCCGCGTCTTGCGAAGACGATCCGCAGAGTGCCTCCAGGAGTTCCGAGGGCGATATTAAAAATCCCGCCATCGTATTAACATACTTCCCCTGTCTTTACGCACCGACCTGTTTCCTTTTTTTTTTCTTCCTCTCATTCCTATCTCCCCCAACATTCGCAGGATCGGATAGAAACCGGCCAATATCGAGGATATCGGTGAAAACGATTTCATTTTTTCAAAACCGACTCCCTTTGATTTCATATGATTAACAATGCGATTCGATAACAAGTAACGTTCAGCCTTAAAATCCTGCCAATTTTCCGAAGATTTCTAATAATTTCCAGAGATTTCTATTAGCGACGAGGGGCTATTCACTTATGGAAATCAGTGAAAACAATTTTTTAAAAACAAAATTTCATATATATATATAGGACGACCCTTTCAGATCACCTTAAAATCCCTAATTTCGAAAGTGACCCCTCGATCAATCCGCACCTTTCGGAGTCTTCGAGTTCTCGAACGCCTAAATCCGAGGAAGTCCGAGAAGGAAAGAAAGCACGAAGCTTCTTTCCCTAAATCCCGAAAAGCAGGCGGTCCTGGAAAGGGTTCCCCCGAAGCCTCCAGGACTCCCAGTCGCGGCGCTAAGCCGATATGCATTCATTATAATAAGAAATGGAAGGCACCGAGTGAAAAGTTCGAGCTCGCCAGGCGGCTTTATCAACTCCCTCTGAATTTTATATCATTTAAGAGAATTTCCAGCCTCTCCGCTCTTCGGGTCCTGCTCGCCCTTCTCCCTCCTTTTATTCTTTTTCTCTCTTTTTTTTCTTCTCGCCATCCGTCTCTCCGCGCTCCTCCAGGACCCCCGAACTCGCGCCTCGCTCGGGGAAAAGTTAGGGGAACTTTGTTCCCGCGGCCGCCTCTCTAAAGCCGAAGATGCGTGCCGTTCGCGGGATCTCAAGTTCCCTAAACCTCATTAGCATATTTATTTGTCGCTCCAAGTAGTTTAGCCACGCGCCGATGAGAGGAGTGCCGATCTCTTGAGAACTCGGCCCGAGGAATCACCGACGAGATGAATCGATGAGGTGAACGGCCGGCGATTTTACGCCGAGCGACCTGCGCCAATGTTAAACTCGAAGTTTCCGGCTTTTTTTTTTTTTTGAGAAAAAGAACTTTTTTTAGAAATTTACTTTTCTGGATTTTATTCCATTTTGATGCGGTATGCACTTGCCAACTGCGCCTGCAGTGAATGAGACTCCGCGCGCTGCAGTGCCCGCGACTCCACGCGCCGTAGTGCATGCTACCCCGCGCGCTGCGGTGCATTTCCTGCAGCATGCTTCAGGCGCACTTGGGTATGCCAAGTTCCTTAAACCCTTGCCTTACGATTTAAATTCCAATAGCACGTGCCATAAATAACAAAAATTTCGGTCATACATGGGGCCATTTCACGGTTTGGCTGAACGTTCAACGTCTCACGCGTCTCTCATACGTTTCGCTTATTCATCTCTCATTTATTCGCTTCTTAAGGGCTTTGACAACCCTGACCTGGCCTACGTATGTACTCCCAAGTAACGAGTAAGTAGGTTGTGAAAACGATACTTCGTTTAAGGGCACAATCGGTTTTAATTAGATTCTAATACGCTTCTTAAGGGCTTTGACCACCCTGACCTGGCCTACGTATGTACTCCCAAGTAACGAGTAAGTAGGTTGCGAAAACGGCCAACTCAGGGGGAAGGAGTTGCGAAACCCTCGGCCAGGTTGTAAGTAATACAGCCGTATGTTCTTTTATCAGCTCTCGCGCGTATCGCGGTGCACCTGTAATGCGAGGGTGCAATTCAGGCCGGCCAAGCGCCGCAACTCGTCTTACGTCAGACTTTGCGTACCGCGAACGATAAGTAAGCCCGGGCCACATGCGAGCACCTATAATGCGTCTTTTACACTATTTACACCGTGTACCATTAGCATACGTAGGTCTATTAGCATTACCTAACACGAATCTTTAATAAAGCGGAGCTTTATCGCCCCAGCATGGGACTATCGCGGATTTAAGTCCGTTTTCCTCAACTTAAAACCCTATCGCCTTCGCGGCGGGACTTCTAGGCCGACGAAAAGTCAAATATTGATGCCGTATCTGTCCCAGATTCATTAAAAAAAAAATCCTATCCCGACTTTTAACAATCGCCATGTCTCGCGACTCTCGCACATCTTACAGGAGAAAATAATGCCGTTATCGCGGTGATTTTAATTACAGAGCCCGATGACGAAAAGCCCCCGTCGTGTTTTCATAATCAGGGGTTAGGGGGCATTACAATATAATTTGCTACTTCATAAATCCACTGCTTGAACAAATCTACGAGCTTCGTGACTATATTTCTAAATCCTTTGTTTGACCTCGAACATTTTTTTCCTGAAGATTTCACTTGAGTCAACTATACGATTTTTAAACAGGCACATTTATTTCATTTCAAGTACCTCATTTTCCTCGGTGCAAGTTTCAGCACTAACGGACAGAACTTTCCGGTAGGCCTAATATATAGAATGACCCTTTCATATCACCTTAATACTAGAACTACCAAGACGGGTCAAAATGACTTGTTTCAAATGGCTCATCCTATACAAAAAAAAACAAAAATCTGCCGGTCGTTCTCGTGTTAAGAAGCTAGATTTTAAAATCATACAAAATATCCAAGTGTGCCTCGATGCTTTTGCGGTAACTTATACAGAGTACGGGTACTTCCAATTCAATTTTGACGAGTCAAGTCGAATTGAACTGGTTTTCGTAAAACCTTCGTTGACGTTACCAAGCTACTGTCCTCCTCATTCAAATTAATTTTGACGAGTCAAGTAGAATTGAACTGGTTTTCGTAAAACCTTCGTTGACGTTACCAAGCTACTGTTAATTTTGACGAGTCAAGTAGAATTGAACTGGTTTTCGCAAAACCTTCGTCCACGTTACCGAGCTACGATCCTCCCCTGGAGTGAGCTAGAACGATTGGGAGGAGCTCCACCGAAAATCGGTGTTTTCCTTAGAGCGCGTTAATTTCGCGCGGCCGCACCGCCGAAATTCCGGTATTTTTGCAACTCCGGATGGATGGGCACAACAGGCGGCTCTTCCCACAGGACGCGAGAGAGGGTGGAGTACGCGCACCTACGGTTAATACACCGGAAGGCATACGCGCGCAATTCTGGCCGGGTTGGCCCGGGTTGCCCCAGGTTGCCGGCCGGTTGCCCTCGCGTTGCCGCGACCCGGTACCATCCGCAGGGCCCGGTTAGCGTAAACGCGCCGTTTCGTCGGTCGCCCATTCAAAACATAGGGTACGCTGCTTCGAAAACAATGCCGGCCGTTTCCACGCGGTGAAACCGCACCCAAGAGAAAAAGACGGAAAGGACCGACAACTCGAGGACTATCTTTCCCAAATTTGCGGTCTAAACTGACATCGAAATGGCGATTTACCCGCGGAATTAACATGCCGACATTGTCGGCAACAAAGGGAGTTAACAATGGCTCCAGGCTCGCAGTCGAGGGCTGATAATCCCTGCCTTTCCGTGGCATCTCTAGAGAACGTCCTCGCGGTGGCGGAAACGGTCGGACCTTCCAGTGGGTCATTCGATGTTTAACATATATACGTGTGGATATCGGTCCGATTTCCGAGTCATCCAGTTATGGATGTTGGCGATGGTTTTATATCAGCGAGGGTGCCTCTCAAAGCGAGCCCCTACATGTCGCTGCTGGGGTAAGAGCTGCTCTTGCGGAAGAGGAGCGACAAAGCTGGCTTCTCTTCCCTCTTGACATCATATTTATTGCTCATTCCTCCGCCACGTCGGAAGAAATGTACCTCGGTTTATTCCCAGCTTATGTAGACCGGGAAGAAAATTTCACCGAACCGAAGAAACATCCCTTTTGTTCGATATAGCTTCTTCTTTCTTTTCCCTGAGTAAAGGAGAAATTCTTACCCTCGAGGAATATTCCAATACACTTACGTTAAATTCGACAGTCTTCGACGTCTACTTCGATAAGGTCATTCCCACCCTAACGACGTGTACATACTGGATGCAAAAGTTCCTCTTAGAATACGATTACGTGGTCACAAATGATACTTTAATGAGTATCATTTAACTTTATGAGTTATCTCTCTGTCTGTGAGAGGCCCCTAAAAAAGGAACGTTTTTATTTCATTAGCGGTGCGACTTTATGGACTTATTAAATGTTATACGATATTGGCTGGGAATAAATTACCAATTGCATTCTTTTAATTGTAACGTAAGGTCGTTAATTACATGCCGAGGAGACGAGGAAAGGGAACACCACTGTGGAACTTCTTGCGACACGAGCGCCGTGAATGCTGCGGATGTTTCTGGAAACTCGACGCGCCGTTTTAGGAGCGGGACGAAGGATGAGGCGCCATCTTTGATTGAAATACCAAAGCGCTTCTTAGTATTACGCTACCAGCAGACTTAACTCTCATTTACCAGCGAATCGCGTCTTCTGACGCATTATTTACCAAAGAGAGCAACTCCTTCGTTTTCGCCAACGTTATCTACGCCCCCGCCTCCTTTTGATTAACTTCTGGACCATTCTCACGGCAGGAAACGAGATCGCACTGCCAAGCAACGGCGAATGCAGCGCCATCTCTTAACTAAGCGAGATACTACAGCGATACTGCCGCAGCTTTCAGGCGGGAATTTCAAATTCCTTTGAATCGATTCTAGTCTTGCACTTATAACACCTGCGAAAGTAGGATGTTACTTAATCTAAATCAGACGTTGAATGTTGTAAGTGTGAAGAGTTGTGGCAACTTGAAATTAGACAAACTACGTACACATCACACCGTATGTTTCCCTTGAAGTTGCATGCTCCCGTTGAACAAAGAACGCTATGTAAGAAAAAAAAAAAAACGAAGCATACCGTCAGTTCTGGTACGGTAACCTGTTAACAGTTTAGTTCACCGAGGTTTTGTACGCGTATTTTTTCCCGGGAAAATTTCTCTAATACCATCTTGATCGATCGACCCTTATTTCGGCGACCGAGCTCTTCAATTACTTTTGAAAATTAGAGGTGCACGCGACCACCTAGACATGAATGCGTTTGACTAAGTGGAAATATTTGACAAAGTTATGGAGATCGTTAGCACCGAAATGCGGCTTTCGGGTATGGAAATAAATTTGTATTGCCATACTTACCATTAAGTAACGATAGAGAGGTACCACCGAATGCCTAATTTCAAATAACACGCACTCACACTTTGCAAATTACAGGAGATTACAGTGAGTACAGATCTCCTACTTCCTCAAGAGATGTGCCAGCAAGTGACAATTGCGCAGATGTAAAATTAACAGGTACTTAAATAATTACACCATTTCATTGATCTTTTGATAACACTGTTAAATATTGTATTATAAATATGTGTGATATCAGAGCTGGAGCACCAACTAATGACAGCGGAGACGAGATGTGGTTCTCTCAAGTCACAATTAGATTACATGAAGATGCTTTACGAAGGGACCCAACCAGCAGCTATAAACCCACGAGAGATCCTAGACTATTCTATACTTCAGGAAACTTTTTATGAGGACGAACAAGCGAAGGATGTGAAAGAAGACATACATGAGAGTTATGTATCGCAAATGTATTTTCAAAGGAGTCCTGCCAGTACGGTTAAAGAATCAGAGAGACTCACGTGTCCGGTTCATACAAAGGGCCATGAATTTCTAGAAGAAATCAATAAAGCAAAATTGATTCTGAAAGAGAGCGAGGGTACGATAACACATTGTATGCATATCGTGGTAAATCAATGAAACAATCGATCTCATATAACTCCTAAGTTCGTACACGTTTTGCATGATAAGTTACGAATGATTGAATGTTATTTATTAAATTTATCATTTATCAACTTACTCCACAATTTTACAGAACAGATGAAGGTACATTTCGAAAGTCCGACAGGGGAAGGAATTCCATTAGTTATCGATGATCATACTAACGATGACAATAAAGAAGAATTAGAGAAGAGCCCCAGCGATCAATGTTTCTTGTCGAACACTTGGAAGGAAACTTTGGATTTCATCGATACAACTCATCGCACTGTAGTTTTATCACCCAAACCAATAACCACGACTGATAAAAATGATGTAACGTTGAATTAGAACTAGTTTCTTTTTTCCTTTTCTAAAATAATTTTGTGATACGACTTGTTTGTAACCATGATTCTGTCACAGATTTGTAGAGAACTGGTTGACAATGATATGGCAGGTTCGAGGCTCCCTTATCAACAATATTTAACAGAGTACTCGAGAGGATTGGAAAACGAAATAGCAAACGTGGAGAATAACGTAATTCAGCTAGCTTCTGAAGGAAAGAAAGGCCATACATCCGAGTGTGCATCCTCGAGAAAAGAAGGAAGGAGACAACAGCTCGTCCTAAAAATATCTGGAAGTGCGGAAAATTCAAGGGGAACTCAAGAAACCAAACGCAAAAAAATACTAAAGGCAGAAAAAAGACACAGAGCTACGAATTGCGCGACGATAAGTAAAAAGTCTTCCTTCGGCAAAATAGACGATACCGCGTCCATGGCATCGAAAATAAGGAGAAAAAGAGGCAAATTAAGGAGTGCTAACTCGAAAAGTACAATAGCCACAAGGGACACCAACACCACGATCAAACGAGAGCCCATAAAACGCAAACAAAGAGGTATGGCCGAATTATACCAAGTACACTAATTTCATAAAACGATATCACGTTTCAGGCCCCAGCACGATATCCTCCTTACAATCTTCTCAAAGACAACCAGCATTACCGAGAACCCATCTGAATTGGAGCGAAGTTGTTGAAATTTATCATAATCAAGCAGTAAAAAGTACAAGCATGTCATTGGTCTCTAGCAAACACTCCAAGATCGATCCACGTCACGGTGACACTTTACCAAAAAATGACCCTCTGCCTATTGAGCCTATTGAGGAATCTCGTATTAATTATAAAAAACAATCTAAACTCCAACCGAGTCCTAAGAATCACTGCCAGCAAAAACCAGACACAGTGACTGGGTAAATTAATTTCAGTCGTTCATCACACTTTTTACACTTTACACTTTTCATGGCTCCACAATATAATTTAAACTACCGTTGCAATTAATTTCATGTCCCCAGGCAAACAGCTTTGGTAGAGTGCCCTTTGTTAGATCAAACGACTCTGCGGAATGATTTAGAAAATCCTCAAAGTTCGTCCATCCAAAATGGTCCAATGCATTACGATCCTGCCGCAGCAAGGAACTACGAACTCCCAACTGTGGCGTCGAAATTAAAACGCGTAAATCGGCCATACTTTGGCGGTTTCAACTTCAGAAATATTCCCTTTGTAGTGGGTACTTCCATTTCCCCCAGCCACAATCTAGGACTTAATATCCAACAGGTATTGACGTAAGCTCAATTGACATCTGAAAATGTAATGTAATCGAAAACGTTTCAAATCCTCCCACATGTATGCAGGTCCTTAGCATTATGAAAACTAGACAACCTTTGGTTAGTGGAATCACTCCGCTACTTATACGAAAAGTTAGCAAAGGAATGAAACCGATGAGCATGCTACTCGATCAGATGAACCGATGTAATAATTCAGTAATGATGCCAATCGAACTAGGCGACTCGAACGCTTTAAAAACAACGAATAATCCTAATGCACAAATATTAGAGATACCTATAAAAGTAATTATTTTAAAGTTAAATACACACGATTTTAACATTTTTTTAACTCTTTCCTAATCAAATTATACATATTTTTCTCATTATCCGCGTTTTAAATTCCAATCGAAAATGAAACAGACAATGAGGTAATGTGCTCTTCTCGATGAAATTATCAACTCTTAATAATAGGAAACTTTGCCTCAGTTGAAGAGTAAGGAACAAAGCAATGGATACACTAATACTACACGAGAAACGGTAAGTTACTTGCGACCTATGCAATTTACTTCATGGAAAAGCATCGGAAGTTACTCTACTAAGACTCCAAATGGCTCGCCGAATCAACGACAAGTAAGGTGATCCAATTCTGACAAAGGAAATGAGGAATTTAATAATTCGTTATTACAGGAGGAATTAAATACTAGCAATGGACGAAACATCAAGAATCAAAATGGATTGCAAAATACCAAAGAAATTCAAGCCGTACTAATAAACCTCTATAATCAGTTCGAAGAGATGAACACGTAAAACAGAAACAATAATATTCACGAGAAATCGACATAAATTATGTTCTCATTGAATTTTTCTAATTAAAGGAGATACGAGAATCTTCAAGAGCAAGTCGAAAGATCTAATAACAGAACCTTAGCAAAAGAATTAGCAGATCTAGAAAAACAGCTGATTGCCAAGGAGGAAGAAATTAACGCATTTGTCAGTTTATACAAAGAGGTAATTTTAAACATATAATGATCCATTTTGTACTTTCAGTATGAACTAAGTCATAATGTAATAATTGGTTAGTACTCGTAAGTCATGCATCATAGGGCATAAAATGTGTTCGCATTTTATTAGGTCATGGCCCTAAAACAGCAAATCGAAACGCTACACCAGAGAAACAGTTTCGTATATATTGCAACGAATAGTGCAACAGGTCCCCCTGCATGTCAATGTCACTCACCGATCACACGAAGATCAAATTATAAAAGAGCTTACCCAGCACACAAGGGGAACACAACCAGTCAATCTTCTCGAGAACTTTCGACAGCCACTCGCTTGACTGCTCTTCTGAGGCAAATACAGATGTTTCAAAAGCAACTAACGCTTTCAACTTAATTTAACAATCCTCATCAATCAGCCAATACGAACATGCAATGTATATGCTATCGATCTTCCAAAATACTACCCGAATAAGTACCATATACTTTCTCTAATAAAGTAATGAATATGGAAATGATTTTTGAAATGTTCTATGTTAACTAAAGGCCCGAATTTGCAAAAATTCTTTTCATACTTTTTAACCTCAAAATATTCCCCTACTACTCACAGTATGACGACTAAACCTCTAGTTACCAAAATTGACCTTTTCACCACAATTTCTACGTTGACCTGATACATTCAAGTAATAAAATTTGCTTTATAGAATAAATACTTTAAAATCTATCAAACATTAGTTCTTAAAGGTGTTCGAAAGTTTACTGACCACAACATTATTGTGATTCTCAAGAACTTGCAATACATGTATGAATTTATTAATGCTATTTATCTTTACGATTACTAGTTAAGCTATTATACATGTTTGTCACAACAGCTTCCACTAATTCCTGTATAACCACACCATCTTCGTCGATAAAGTTAGCAACTGATTGGTAAGTAGAGGTTTCACTTATACTTCCAGAATTTTCAGTTCTAACAGATAATACTAGATTATATCGGTCATCATATTTCTTTAGGTACGAGCTTGCCTCCCAGATGAGGTTTGGACTAAATCCAGCAGGATCCCTGAAAGTATGTGAATAATTTTTTATTTCAAAACACATCTATGTAAAGAAATAATATATTGAATAATTTGAAATAATACGATCACAAACATATAACATGCAGACTTACTTTTGAATAGCCACAACAAATATCCCTTTTTCCTTATATGACGTATAAAGGGTTAGAAGTCCCATGACTATAAAATATGTTGAAACACAGCCAATTAAAACTGGTCTCGATGTCGGGAATGGATAAACATAATCCCATAGCAAGGCAAACCCAGCCACTGCCACCGCTACGGCGCACAATGCTAATCTACCATCAAGTAATGCGAATACTTCCGTATTGTTATATTTTTGAATCAGAACGTCTTTCACAGAATCATCTATAGCATTTTTCACTGCTGCACCGTCCCACTTATTAACCTTAATGACCTGTGGAAATATAGTAGTAAATTGATATCGCTACAAATTAATAAGAACGTGAAATCAATTTTTATCTTAAACTCGACCGAGCTAACCATTTGCGCCGATTACTTCACGTGGTTAGAATGAACACAAACATATAAACTGAAGTAGGATAATAAAATAATCGAATTTTAACAAAACAGTACACGAATAGCAAGTGGACCAGTTCAATGTCAATTCTTACAAGTTTAAGGTCCGTCACAAATACCTCACTTTAACAAAACCCGTATGGTCAAAGAAATCCATTAATCAAAATGGACGAGATAGAACACATTACCTTTTCTAAAATTTGCCAAGTTAATACCGTTATGGGAGATAAGTGTGAAAGGCTTAGAAAGAACCACTCATATGGAGGGCCGATTTTAAATATAACAAAATTTAATCATCATACAGATATCAAGAAATTTCTATACCTTCGGATCCTTCGACGACATCTCTTGCACAATTTGCAACAATTTCCAACTACCCTCCACTTTCAAATAAAGACGTAACGACAAACAGCCTTTTGTCCACGCGTACCAGTTATAAACATAGATAAAATAAAAGTGCAGCAGGGAATACCCATATCCCTAATTTCGCTGCTGCAAATCCCCTGCCACCTAACGGCCATCCGTCGAAATTATTAAATCAGAGATTCACGGGAAGGATCGAGCGACCGCGTCCTATGCGACCTCCGGTGGAGCGTTTTCAAGTGTTATCGAGTGATATTCAAGTGTTTTCGATCGTTATCGAGCTTTTTTCGAGCGTTCTTCGAGCGCTTTCAAGCGTTTTCGAGCGTTATCGATCGTTTTTGAACGTTTTCCAACGTTTTCGACTGCGCCTCCTGGAGTCTCTTCCTATTGGTTAGAAAATTTTTTCTCTGTTCTTCTCTTTCTATTAGACTGAAAAGTCACGACATCAGCGCTATCTTTGCTTGGAGTATGTGAACTAACTTCAGCGTTACACCTCTTCCATAAGGAGTGTTGACCCCCTGGCATTAGCCGTCTGCATCCTCCACCGGAGATCGCACAGGACGCGGTCGCTCGATCCTGCTCGATCCTTCCCGTGAATCTCCCAACTCATCTCTGATAATAAATGTCATTAAATGTCATTATTAAAGTTATCAATCATTTAATCTATGGTATTAGATTTATTGACAAGAGGATTGCAAGATGTCTAAAATTGAATGGTAAATGATAACTGTTGTCAACGTTATTATAACTAAGTTTGAGCTGTATTTTTGTTTCAATATTAATAGATACTAGGCCGCACTATCATGTTTCAAATTTTTATCACACGTTAAATGAATGTATATGCTTTTATTAATTACAACGACCGTTCCATCGATTATAGGGTCGTGGAACCGGTTGAATATGAAAAGCCTGCGAGTGCCTTTGGCGAAGAAGTAACGGTGCATCCTTTGAAGCCCGCTATGATACAGGTAAGACAGAAATTATTTTATTGAATAAATAAGAATCTTGTCTCACGAGATTTTAAGTTATAGTTTTTTTTAGATGGTAGATGGTCATGGTGGTAAACAGGTGTCCTTGCACGGAATTACCGGTAGTACTTCAATGGGCACTCCAACTCTTTCATATATTCCCATTAATAATTTAGCTACAGATCCTTTATTAAATCATTCTTCTTTGGATGGTTCTGATCCCTTAACGCAATTTGCTCGCGAGGATACGGACCCATTATCAAAAATAGCTGCCGATGAGGTACGTTCTCGATCGTTATCCTTCGTTACGTGCAAACTATTCTTTTATCGTTTGTCGAGAATTTCAAATTATTTACAGTGGGACTATTCAGCTAATGTGTCAGTTGGTAAGAAATCGCGAAACATTTTGGAGGAAAATGATGAATCCTGGGCAGTTAAAAGAGCCTTCATTCTTGGCAAGTACACAACATCAGAGAAATTATCAATCATAACAAGCTTTTTACCAGCTGGTGAGAAAGGTAGAGATCCTTTTCGTCTTATAAATTATATTTGTGATTAGTGGCTCGTTGGATGGTGAGATATAAATGACTCTATATTTTACAAAACAGTCATTGTAAAAATTCAACAAACCGGTGCTTTGGTGGATAAAGTCAAAACAAGACTAGAGCAACTCGATGACTTTGAGGAAAGTTCAGTTAGACAGATGTTAGATTTGTCGCAACAAGAGTATACAGCCCAGATTGAGCAACTCAACAATGAGCTTGTGCAGGCCTGGCAATCGGATCAACGTGTGAAGGCATTGAAAATTGCAATTCAGGTGCATTAATTTTCCCAGATTAAGTAATCTGAATTTGTCAGAATCTTGGTAACTCAAGAACAATATTTTCATAGACAATATTGCATTCTTTTCCTATTTCTGTTGATCGTTTAATCATTTTTAACAGTGCGCAAAATTATTAGTGGATACTTCCGTCATGCCTTTCTACCCGAGCAAGTTTGTACTGATTACAGACATCCTTGATATTTTTGGCAAGCTAGTCTACGATAGGCTCAAGATGAAATCTCAAAACTATTGCAAGTAAGTATTTTTTACTAAAGGCTGATTAATAAAAATATGATTCATATATAATTATCCTTTTCAAGGCCAGGAAGTAAAGTACCAAACAGTTTGCCCGATGACTTCACTGCTGACATGGTGCCAGAGAGTGCAAAGGAAACATGTCGGAATTGGTTTTATAAGATAGCATCGATAAGAGAACTGGTACCAAGACTTTACGTAGAAATGGCCATAATCAAATCTTACAGTTTCTTAACAACGAGGTAAAGAAAAAATTATACAGTCAAATTTAAGCGCACATTAAAATACAGAGTTATAACAAGTGATCTTGAAAAACAGATAAATATTCCTTTACGCGATGTTGAAAAAAATCCAAGAATGGTATGCAATGGAGTCATTCACGAATTAAAAATTGTATCACGGTAAACTTTATTTTGTTTATTCATCACGGTAACAGACGGATTTGGTGTAAAATATTCACGATAGTTTTGATTATAACATCGTACTTTTTACATTGCATAGTCCTGTAAGCGATTCACCGCATACTTCGTCGATTCCGAACGATGGAAGTGCGTGAGTACTGTCTTTAATACTCGACTTTATTTAATTTTACCACATTCTGTTAATACTTGATCCACAGTAATTATTGAGTGTTGTGTGATTAATACTATAAAGCAAGTACAACAGTATTCACATTTTTATTTCCGACGTGGCCACATTGCATTAGTGAAAAAAAAGCACCATTCGTTTTTACTTTATTTTACTATAGAGGCATGTCAGAAATTTGTAGTTGGACTTCACCCTTAATTTGCTGAATCTCCTCCCCGTTTGTAAATAATTTCAGGAAGTAAAAAATAAAACTATTGTTTGTTTTAATTGAATAATTCATTTCAGGGAGTATACGTCAGCATTGTTACGCATAACTCGTATGATTAGAGGTATCGGCAACCCTCTGGTTGCTGTTTTTGCCAGATGCTACTTATGTCGAGTGGGTCGTGCTTTGGGACGTACATCAGACCAAGAGATTATAAAAGAGAACTTGTACGATTTTCTCTTTACGTATCGACAGCTTTTTTCTCAATCAGTTAAAAATGAAATAAGCAAGCAAGATGTATCATTCCACTTATATTTGAGTCTGTACACCCCCGCATTGGATTGGATAGTAGAAGTTATGGCAGCAACATCAACGGATGATGTTTTGGATGAAATACTTTCCCGGTGCAAGCAACAAACGTACATGTAAGTTTTCCTATATTTTTTTCTATTCTTTTCAGGTTTTAACTGTCATTATGTTTCAGTGGATTGCTATTAAATACGATTCTGAATGCATTTAAGCCAACGTATGTAGCACCTCGTTCGATGGAATTTGTTAAATTGGTTGAAACATGTGTAAATGATGGTGAGCCTTAATAATCTAGCAAACAGAATCTTTATTTTGTAATGAATTTACCTGTGTTCAATCGTCGTAGGTTTTCCTCAGTACCTCCTGTATCGTAGCCTTGGCGAATGCCTCTTGCAAGAGTCACCACCAAAGGATGATTGTCAACTTGTCCTTACCACGGTTTGGAAGTACGTGGTAGAACTTCACGATCCTTCTCAGTTCATGCACTGTACAGAAATTTGGATCGAATTCGTCGTTACCCACTTCTCCGTACGTTTATATACAATTGGTATATTAAGAAAAAAATGTTGAGGTTATTAAATCGTTCTTTCCCTCTTTGTAGACGAGCGAGTTGAACGGGTATCTAGGTGAAATAATTAGCCACTTGACTCCAAATAGATCCTTCGAACACTTCTACCCTCAACTACAAAACATTGTCAAGAAGATCATCGTTCGTACGCAGGATCTCGAATCTCTTCTAACAATGGTTACAAAAGCTTCTCTTTCCTTCCTTTTACATGCTAATAAACTGTTTCATACTAATAAGCTTTCTTTCTTATTTTACAGGAGAATTTCTTGCCTCTGATCGATCTCTTCCACAAGGACAACATAAAGGTGGATGTTTGTAAGACAATTATCGAAGGACTTAGCGTGCAGACAGGTTCGATTACAGATCCAGTGATCATCAATGCCCTCATGTTTATTGCTAAGATAATGCATGATTCAGTCAGGTATGTCTTTTCTTTTTTTCTCTCTAGTGTATACCGATCAATATATAAATCGAACAGAATTAAATATCTGTCTTAGTTACCGAAACATGTATCCCAATGTACAGTGCTCTCACCGTTGAAGACGAGAAGAGACAGATCGGCAATCTAATTTGCGGCTTGGTGCAACGCGTCGATTATGGACGAGATTTCGAGAAACAATTGAATTTTTACGCGGAAGCTAGAGCTGCCTTTCCTAACCTTGACTCGGTTCACATTCAACTGGTACAGGTACATAGAAGTTAATTTTCTTTTTTGCACAGTTAAGAAATGAAAAATATTAACCAGTTTGAACAGACAGGATCATTGTAATGTTTAGTGTGTCAATAGACTATCCATAGACACGAGAAAGATCGTAAGAGGCCATCACACAAGAAGGACGTCGGCATTCGTTCGGGCTTGTGCAGCCTTTTGCTTCATCACAATTCCATCGTTAACTTTGGTATTCACAAGGCTTCAATTGTACCTACTTTCCGGTCAAGTGGCACTTCTGAATCAATGCTTAGGACAAGGTATTTAAATTAAATTAATGATTTTTCTGGGTCGTAAGCTACATCGAACAATGATTTTTCAGCCGATGCCTGCTTTAAAGCTGCTCTGAATTTGGTATCCGAAATGCCAAAGACAATTGACATCGATGGGAGGCAAAAAAATTCAGAACCCTGCTTACTCTCGTACCTGTCGAATTTTCTATCAACCCTACTTGTTGTGCCAGTAAATATAACGTAGTCTTAACTAAATAAAAAATGGTTTATCCTATATTAAAGGTGTTTTTTTTTCTTTCTTTTTTAGGATAGTCCGGAGCATGGAGTACTATACTTGATGAGAGGTCTGTTAAATGCAGTTCAGCGTTGCTTCGACGAGAACTCGTCGACAAAAGCGCATCTGTATTTAAGGGTTCTGGACCTACTGTCGACTGTAACTCAAGAAAATTATCCTTATCATATTGACAAGGTAGAAATTATCAAATATTAACTACCCGAGTACTTCGGATGTATTTTCATCTTTTAACAGAAATATTTTCCATAGGTCGACTCGAATGACAAGCTGTATGGCTCGGATAAAAAGTTCGTCAGCGAAGTGAACAAAATTTGTACGACGATATTGGAGGAACTACTTAATCACTTGAAGTATCTTGGGTCTACCGAACAATACGAGAAGCAGTCCATACTAGCTCTGGAACTTTTTACCAGAATAATCGTTCGCGCAGATCTACGACAACCAGCCTTGGCAAATGTAGCAGTAAACCTGTGGAATCTATCTCAAAGGCACTCGACCGTAGATCAAAAACTCCGGGTATATTTCCTACATCATTAAATGAAACGCTTTCTTTTTTTTTTTTTTAATAAACCTTAACTCGATTTCCGCCCACAGATGAAGACTTTGGAATACATGAAACGAAAAAGTCGGCGGCCACGATTTCAGCACTTCACCGACATACTTATGAAGATATCAAAACGCATCTAACATTTATGGTACGAGAATGAACTTACGCATAAATTAATAAACAATTTCTCTACTTATAAAAGTTTGCTATTCGACGAAACGCTTAGTAAGACCTAGATTCATTTTTGTCATAAGAAATATATGAAACAAGAAAGTTACACAACCTCTCCGTGAAGAATGTTGAATTAATATAGTCAACAATATCGTTCCATTAATTCGGTTACACAGGCCTATTTACTGATACGCTAGTATGCTCATACCTCATAATAATGGCGTTTTATACGAATTTAGCGTAGATCTAATAAAATTGTTCCCCGACACACATTTATATACAGAACTTAATAGCAGTTTATTTAGTGCGCATTATATTGTATGCCACCAGTACGATATTTAATATAATAAAGTAGTTTCCCTTTGCTTAAGTGCGAACAGCACTCCGATTCCTATATAACAAAAGTTATACTCTGGTCTTGAACATTTTATGTATGCATATATCTACATTGTGCTAGACGTAAAATCAAAACAATATTACAAATAATCAATTGCTTCATTTTCCCTAAAACTTATGATAATGTTTTAATTTACTTTCATATTTTCCTTTTTTTACTCCTCGCTCTTAGTGAGCGCGTACTCCACATACAATTCGATACAAATGCCACGGCTTTGTACAGTTGATTTCATGCAGCAATATTACATGAAATCAATGTCTAATTTGATTGCAAACTCATTACGAAAAAGACGAATTCAACATGGCACATTCTACGAACCAACGATATGTACATCGTTATACATTGTTTAAAGAAAGCGTGTATATACGAAGGTCCAAGAAATTAAACCACTGAAATTGAGTACCATAGTTGTCATTTAACGAGCAAGTGCGTTTGCAATTAGCATTAGTTCGTATGTTTATGCATACGTAATACGAAATTCAACTCCATACGTCACTGGAGTAACGTTTCTGTGAATCCATTTTCTTTATGTACGAAGTTGCCTCCATCTCTGTCATTTTGCCCCTTTCCATCACAACTTTCAAAAGAATATTATGAACATCCCGTGCCATGTTACGCGCGTCCCTGAATAACATGAAATAATAAATAAGCCAAATGATTAAGTGGGATTATTTCGTTACTTAATTTCAAATCGGAACGGGAAGAAAAGAGTGAACATACCCGCAGATATAAATGTGTCCATTTTTCTTGCCAATGACGTCCCACAGTTCATCTTTATTCTTCTCAAGAAGATGTGTAACGTAGACCTTTTCCGGCTGATCTCTGCTAAAGGCCGTATGTAATTTCAACGTACCACTTTCAACGAACTCCTGGAGCTCGTCTCTGTACAAATAATCCTCGTCGCGTTTCCTACATCCAAAATACAAAATAGTGTCCCCAACTTCTTTCCCTGAAAGCGGATAAAACCAACCATGACAAATCGCGTTACCAAATCATATCATTCGGTCTCTCCCCCTCTGATAACGAATGATAATATAACTGACCATCTTTTCTGGCAAGGTCCCGCTCTTGAATGAATCCCCGAAACGGTGCCAAGCCCGTTCCTGGGCCAACCATGACGACAGGTGTTACTAGACGCGAGGGAAGGCGAAATTGGGATTTTCTCACAAATATCGGAATAACGCACGGTGATTCCGCAGGTCGTTTCTCCCTCAACCACGAGGTGGTAACACCACGATTCATACGACCAGTGGGAGTTTTATACTCAACCAAAACCGCCGTAATGTGAACCGACGTTGGGTGCAGCTGGGATTAAAAGACCAAGAGATTATACATTAGATCCAACAATTCCTAATCACTACGAGGTTCCCTATTCAAGATTGCCTCGCGTTTGTTGCACTTTATATGCCGATCCAAATGGAAACTTACCTTTGGCGACGAGGATATAGAGTAGTATCTGCACTGCAGTCGAGGCAGAAGTTCGCAGAGATGATCAAGGGCGGGTTTCAAGCTCGGGATGTCTTCCAATATGTGCACGATGTTCCTGTTGTCATGGATCACCCATTGTTGATAAAGGGCCTTGCCTTCGGCACTGGTCGACGCCATGAGCTTCAGTTTTTCCTTATCGGCGGGATCGCTCGCGTACTCGGCTAATTCTTTCAGAACGTGAGTACGCGGATTACTGGTAATGTCCAAGTAATGCGTCAATGCAGTTCTGTAGGAGCAGGGGCACGGGAATGGATTTTTCTTCGTGGACTCCTCTGTCGAGTGAATATTAAAACACGGTAAAGTACCCTCGATCGCACGATATTACCGTTTGTTAAATAAATAACGAAACAATGTTAGGGTGCACGTACCGTCTGTATTAGTGAGGGTAATGACAGTGTCCAGATCGACTCCGCATATTTTACCAATTTTCTCGACGAGCTCTGTATTGTTCACCGGATACACGGCCAAGTGGTCTCCTGTCTCGTATCGCATTTTGGAGCCTTCGATGTCGAGTTCAATGTGCATACAAGAGCGCTCCGATGTAGGCCCATGTAGCTCACGATTTACCTTCACCGGTGCTAAGTATGGATTTTTCGCATCGTGTGGCCTGCAGAAAGGAATATCAAATAAATAATGAACCGACAGTTGATTCCTCAAGATAAAGAAAAACAGGGAACTTACGGCCTCTGGTTTTTAAAGGAATGAAGCCGAGCGATCTCTCCGGTGTAGACTTTATCGGAAGCAATGTCCATATGTTCCGTCAGTTTGAACTGTCGAATACTGACATCCTCGCCAGCACTCTCAATGCCAAAGAAATCACATACAGCTGGCCAGAATTTATCCTTCCACGTAATGAAGTCATCTTCGATACTGACCAGACAATGGAGTTATCGTTAAAATCGATCGTTATCTTTACGAAATAAAATGCAATGTTTTTTATTACACTTACTTGGCATCGTCGTCGCCCAGGCCCAATTCGACGACACGTGTAGCACCAAGTTGTTCGAGTCGGTGATCCACATATATGGCTACTTCGTTATAGTGCTCGTAGGTTTTATTTCCAAGCCCAAACACCTAAAATCATGAAAATAACAAACTTTATTTAATCGTATAATGGACTACGCATACTTCTGATAACGTATGGTTTTTTACGTACTGCATAATTTAAACCAGAAAGATCAGCATCACCATTTTTCAACCAGTCGACAAACTCCATTGCATTGTCGGTAGGATCGCCCTCTCCATATGTAGCCAAACAAAATACTGCCAAACTATTGGGTATCGTCTTTAAATTTATTAACTCCTCCTGTTATGAAGAATGAGAAAAAATAATAATGCGACAGCCGATATCAGTAATAATTCTTAATACTACTGTATATTCTGCAAAGATTTATTATTGCAAACCGTTCTCTTTTGTCTGCGATTTGACAATTTGTATCTTGACACCTGACTACATCACGTGTATCCAGCTGCAGTTGTTTGCAATTACAAGAAAAGTATAGGTAATTGTAGCTATTTTGTTATGCTGTCGTAAAAGTATAAAAATATAAAACGACTCTTAAAATCCACACTCACCATGTCGCATTCTTCAGGATCGGCAACCATTCCTTTCATTCGATAACGAATGCCCTCTTTTGCAAGTCTGCCAGCAAACTCTTCAGCAGTGCCCGTTTGACTACCGTAAAATACTACTAAACTGCGACCAGACGTTTTCAATTTTTTAATGAAAGAATTCTCAGAAGGCACAACTGCAGTATATGATGTTGGTCTGTAACATCATATGATAATTAGAAAATAAGAATAATGTGAACCAATAGAATGTATAACATGCGTCTAAATACTAAAAGCACATGTATTTTGTAGCAATGAAATTGCATAAAACATTTATTTTATTACAATGAACATCCTTTTATCCTGAGCAAATATGATTTTCAACAGAAGACAGCTATCAAAAATGGATAGAAGAGTCGATTTTGTTCAATGACGGAAGTTCATTAATATGTGAATAATTTAAACTGTACTACTAGTATAATAGATTTTTCTAGAAGTTCAAAGGTCTAGAATTGTAATAACAGCCATCCATTGTTCGATTGAACCATGGAAAACTGCTGAATACACACAGGATGGTCATCGAGCCATTCTTCAATTATTTTTTTAGAGTCCATCGATATTGATTTGCTTATTTACTATTCCGTAAAGCTAAAATATTACAGCAATGATTCTGTAACAATTTATATGGGTACAAGAATTTTAATTTCACGTTCTTTTTTTTAAAAAAAAAAGATAATGTATTTTCCTTACTGTATAGTATATGATTTTGTGCTCGGTGGGAAATCATCTTGTTTATTGCGTCGCATTAACCACCATAAAGCAGCTAAAAGGAGAGCCCCTAGAAGAACGATGTCTAGAGTGCTAAAGAAAGGTTCTTCAAAGACTTCCGCCCCATCGGCCTCTTCTAATACTGATGACCCTGCCATTCTAATTGCTTTTGGTTGAGTTGCGTCTGCAGTCTGCAAATTAAAATCACTCGTGTATAATTTGGCCACATAATAAATTAGTAGTCTAAGAACTTTGACAAGATACGATTAGCAGAACTACACAATTTACCTCCCAAAGTTCCAGTTTAACGTAATAATCTTCTGTATTCTACTTTGAATTTCCCATACTACAGGTTATACATCGTTTACGACATAACCTTAAATGTCTATCGATACAGTATTTGGTGTCGTATTTAAGTCTACATCGAACCCTCTTGATCATTAAATGAAATATGCTTTATCAATGGAGCACATTCTGAATTTTTCTATACGTCGTTGAATTTCAACCAGATAATACACGCTTGTTACGAGTCACGCTTTCGAGGTTAGACTTCGTTTCGGTTATCTCGTTATGAAATTATGTTATCATAATGCATTTAAATTGAAGCATGATTCGAGAAATAGTCGAAAAAGTGCACATAGCTCATGATTAAATGATAACTTGACGAAACTGTCGGAAACTCGTCCCATGGCATACGTGAATTATATATTAAAACGACGACCGCGTCGGGAACTTAATTCTAATAATCGCTAATTATCACGGTCACGAACAAATCCAATTTCTCGAGGTCCAATGTCTCCCCGCATTCCCGGTTCATTCATAACAGATAAAATATATCGTTTATCTCGTTGACACAACTATACGCAACCTGGAGGACTTGACGCAACGACTTGCAACGACTACCGACACCTCACACCAGCTAAGAGTACACCAAGGAAATAGAAGGCTGGAGAAGGTTAACGAAGTAAGAATAAAACTGGTTCATACGTGTCCAAGCTCCACCCCACTGTTTGCCCCTAAAGATCACGAAAGCGTGTGCACAATTTTTCGTAACCAGAGGGAGCGAGTGCGCACCTAAGAGGGACAAAGACACCACATCGGCGTTCCACCTAGAGTTTTTAAATTCTCAAGAATTTCAGTTTCGACCAATGCACCCGAGAATGCCACGGTAATTAAAAAATTCCCTAGATAATTTAGGAAAACTTGAGACAACTCCGAGAATCTGTATTTTAAATTAATCTCCATCCGCGTCGTCGGATCAATGACAATCCAAGACCCCCGCTCTGCTCTGCGTAATGGAAACTATTTTTCGACGGGTATTCCCTTCCGCGTAATCAATTTATAATTAATCCACAGTCACGGGAAATCTCATTCCCAAGTCTGAACGTAGAAGTTATCGCAACGGTAAGGCGGAATCCAAGGAAAATGCATCAGAAACGACGTCTTAGTTAAATGACCGATAAGAAGGCCGTCATTGTCGGGCAAAGCCGTCCTCTTTTATTAGACATTTGGCAGAGAATAAACTAACGACACAGTTATATCACCGAATGCCGCTAATGTTGAGAAAGATAAGGCTCAGCTAGGGGGTTTCCCTGAATTAACGAGTGCACTGATTCCCGCCGTTCTGTACATACTTGAAGAGCAGCCATGTCGTTTCTACGCATTGAGTCATGAGATGACATTAAACAAATCTTAAATAAAAAAAATAAATAAATAAAAATAAATAAAACATGACCAAACAAGGAATCCCATCGCTTAAGATATCCATTTAGCGATGCGATGACGAAGGCAAAATTTACCACATCCCTGTGTGTGCGTGTGTACCATTTTAATCAGTCATTAATGAGACATTCGTCAGCTCGCGAATAAACCAATGCTTTCTCAATATCTTACTATGATAATAGTTCTCGATTGAGAATCGTCTCGTATTTACATTCCTCGTTTTCCTACAATTCGTGTACATAGGGCAGATAGGGCGGCGGTGATCCAATAACGTGGCCTCCGTGAAATAGGTCGTTTTTTCACGTGGCGGTAAGAGAATATCACGAGCTCCGTCAAAGGATTACATCCGCCTGTAACAAAGTAACCCAAGAAAATGTTAAGAAGAACCGTCCAGAGTAGAATCGTTTAAAGATTCCAGCGTCGCATTCCGAAAAAGTGTTCGAAGAAGCGTTGACATTCTTTGTGCAGTCGCGATTATAGTCTCGCTAATGGTTGGCCAAAATGGTACACGTGACAATAGCGAAATGATCTTGGCAAGAGAGTCTGCTTGTTGACAGTGAAAAAAAAAAAAAAGAAGAAAAAGGAAAATACTTCTCTCCACCAGAAAGACGGATCCCCGGACTGTAGGATCGATCCGGGATTTTCGGTAGAGGAAAAGCGTGTGTAAGGAATTTAACAAAGGTCATCACCTATCCAAGTATTTACCTCCGACGATTGTTCCTACAATTGCGCGGCGGTACCTCCTTATCTCCTCCGTGATAAGTCACGTCGTCGCGAAATGTAATAAGAGCCAAAACCGAGTAAGCTATTAATCATCATTTCATTTCCACTGGTCATAACAAACGAAAACGCGCAAATAAGCTCGAATTAGATAACTCCCCGCCGATGATAAGATTCGAAGTGAGCAGGAAAATTCGGGCGGTTCTTAAAAAAAAAAAAAAACATTTCTACCGAGATAATATTGAATATACATATTCCCAAGTACGTGGAATATTATCACCCAGAATGTTGGTATCGCGGTTGAGCGTTTTTTCCAGTAATTTGCCAATTACAGAAAGAAAAAAAAAGAAAAAAAAAAGAAACAAAAGAACATATGTATATTTTCCAATCCTTCAATTTAGAACATGCAAGGGGAATGCACGTAAACCGTGTTCTTTGAATCGACGATAAAAAATGGAAATGCGATAACTCGGGCTCCCGTTGCGGTAACCGACGTACATACACACATACGTGTAAATGTGTCATTGAGTCAATTACAGTGTGCACTTAAATAATCACGTATCAAAGGCACATCACTGGTACGAGTGGAGTGTCGTTACCAATTCGAACACGACGAACGTTTCGATTCATTTGACGGTGCAAACACCACGTAGAATATGTTTTTCCGTTTTTTTTTTATCGAAGTTTCGGGAATTGTTTAACAGCCTAATATGCGGTGTGTAGGCGAAAGAAAAAAAATAGGCCGAAAATATTTGCATTCGACCATGAGACGGGGAATTACCGATATTACAGGGTCGGGTACCATATCATAGACTCGAAGAATTGACCTTCGTATGTAAAAACGCGGATATACTGAAATTAAAATGCCTAATATGACTAATATGCGGTAGTGCGGTGTAGGCGAAAGTAAAAAAGTGTACCGAAAATATTTGCATTCGGCCATGAGGCGCGGAATTACCGATATTACAGGGTCGAGTACCATATCGTAGGCTCGAAGAAGTGACCTTCGTCTATAAAAACGCGGATATATTGAAATTAAAACCCATAAAAATCCTACAATTGCCTTAATTTCGACTAAATTCATACTATATCCTCCCATTTCTAATATGCAAAAAAAAAAAGAAACTGGTTAGACTGAACGAAACGCAAAATCAGCGCGTCTTCCCAGGGCGACAAGACCCAAGGCGTACATTTAACAATTAGATTTATCGCGAGTGCCTTCCGATTCGTACTCGACTCGGATATCGGTGGGCGTTGTGAAGTAGCATTTTATCAAGATATACGCGTTAATTGGCAATCATCGAGAGATCACGTAACGAAGACTCCAGTTTTACGACTCCGTAAAAGTGGCTTACCTATAGGCTTTAAATCGTTTCTACAAATCGTAGCTATTAGAGGGAACAATGAAAAATCAAAACGCAATAGTAAAAGAAAAAAAAAACGTTATATGGCGAGCCGTATTCCACGATTGGCTTAGTTTCAAGTTTTCATGTCCCTTAATTTGCGGTGAGAATGACAATGAGCGGAAGAAGCCGAAGCTCGGTGTTTTCCTGACCAATGACATCTAAGGTCAGATCGCGTTAGGTGTACCGAGGGCGGCGAGGGAGGGGGGCCTCAAATTCAGGTGCGCGAGGCCCCTCAAGGTCGACTCCGTACCGTCCGTCACGGTCCCTCCGAGACTCGATGACACAACGAATGACTTGCGCCGATAAGACGGCTAACGCAATAGTCCTCGCAGTCACGCAAACCTCGCGGGACCCTAGGGGACGCGCGCGGCGGCGCGGCGGCGCGGCGGCTCGCCGCAACGCCGCGCAACGTCGCCGCGGCGTGACGCGCTCGAGGAAAAATCGCGCGACGCGCCGATACGCCGACTTTCTCCCGATTCATTTCTCCAGTGACAGCGGAATGCCCCGGAGTAGGTGGGAATCTCTGGATTCCTCGCGGTAAGTGCCTCGGGAATACGTACCGGCAGCTCCATGGCCGATTTTTGGTCAATCGGAAGGCTGGCCCGCGATAAGCGACTCGCGACTGCGTCTGGAGATGCGGAGCGATGGCGCAGGAGCGGTGGAGCACACGCGGTCCATGCGACTCGGACCGCGGTAGAGTCGCTACTGGCCCGGCCTCGGACCTCCAGCCGCGGCCCGTTACTTGGCGGGATGCGCGGTGCACCGCCGCGCAGCCGGAAACGGTCACGTGGTCGGCTGCCCGATGACGCGCGACGGTGATTCGTGAAACGAGGCGCCCCTCGTTTTGCATTTCGAACGCCGAGCTGAGCGTTTTACACGCACGGATGACTGGCCACCGACGTTAGTCTCTAATGTTCGATTCGACATGCGGAAACTCCAAGGGTCACTTTACTCCCCAAGGGATTACGTAAAGGCACGGGAATGTATTTCCAGGACCGATGGGTTTTCTAGGTCTCGCACCCGGGACACTCGACACCCTGGCCCGGCGTTCGGTTTCGTGACCGAGCGCTCATTTTCCACTTGGCTTTTTTGTTCTTTTCTTTTCGATGTGTAATTACGCCTCCCAGAGGTGAGGATTTCTCTGGAACCGGTTCCTCTGTCGTGCATTTAAATACCCCATTATATGTAGAGGAGGCATGGCGCATATCGGAGAATCTAGACGATATGCATCGTGTTCGAAAGTTACCTGATGTTGCTTGGGTTGACTCAACGCTGACGTATCGCTTGTTGGGATCGCAAACCGCTACATTTTTCCCGCGCTTGCGTCGACGTTAAATCCCTACTTTTGCATTCAAAACGAACGTCCAGCGTGTCACTGCAATTTTTTTCGACGGGGATATAAGGGATATAAGGGGTAAGCGTATTTAAGGGAGACAAGGCAACCTCTGTCGGTGGAGATTTTAATCGCCCTGCTTTCGTTGAATTTTTTCCGTATTTGCGTCATCGAACGGGTCGCCACGGATTTTCCTGAAGAAAATACAAGTTTTCTTCTGTTCATTTTTTAGACAATTCAGTGGAGTTTGATGTATCAAGTACTTTGTATAAATTGGAGATGGCGAGATGAAGTATCTTTTGTCGCGCTGCTGAAACAATGGTCGGGTACTATTAATGTCCGCATTTATAATGGCGCTAGTGTCGAAAAATATTCTACTGTTCCCAGGAGTCGTGACTTCTCTCTTCTTCTTTCTATATTTAGTTCTGTGGCCGTGGTGTTGATATCTTTATTGTTCACCATGGATATTGGCGAATTATTATCCTATAAGGTAAGTTGAAGGTTATTTTCTCTAATTGTTCCTTACAAATCTCTGTGCCTAGCCTGAGTGGACGTTTATGTTTACTATTTCTTAGTAATAAGAACTTTCTAACCTATAAGTGTCATCTTATAAATTAATTACATGGTTACGATTGTTTATTCATAGTTTGTATCATTTATTTAGCCTCCCAATACGCCAAAACGTCCAGGCCCAGGTGAAGAAGATGACGACGATGAATGGGAGAATACTAAAAGACCTAAAAGAGTCATTAAAACTCCCTACCATGCTCGTCAAAGACAAGTACGTGAAACCGATGTTACTCCTATCAGAACCAACGAACCACCGACACCGATCAGAGCAGCTCTTCCAGCACCAGAAAACGATGTCGTGGAACCTCAGTTAACGGAAAAGGAGAAGCAGGATATTTTAAAATATGTGGAAACGGAAGCACCTGAGGTAGAAGCCTTGGACGAAGCAACTCTAAAAAGAATGGTACTTTTATTTGAAAAACGAGCACTAAGAAATCAAGAGATGAGAGTTAAATTTCCAGATCAGCCAGAAAAGTAAGTATTTTCATTTTGGAAATAGTGGAACATAGCATGTATAAATGTTATTAAAATACTTTATTGTCTTTTGTTAGGTTCATGGAATCAGAGGTTGAGTTACATGAAACTCTGCAAGAACTTCATGCAGTTGCAACAAATCCTGATTTATATCCTTCGATGGTGGAATTAGGAGCGGTACCTTCTTTGATGGAATTACTTTCTCATGAAAATACAGATATTGCAGTTGGAATTGTGGACCTCTTGCAAGAACTTACAGATGTCGATATTTTACACGAGAGTCAAGAAGGAGCGGATGCACTTATAGATGCCCTTGTCGATCAGCAAGTCTGTGCACTTCTTGTGCAAAATTTGGACAGGCTCGATGAGACGGTTAAAGAAGAAAGCGATGGAGTTTTCAATACATTAGGTAGTTTACATTAATAAGAAGCTTATATTAAGACAATAATTTACAAATTATTTATTTGTTACAGCTATATTTGAAAATCTTTTGGAGTTCAGACCAGAATTATGCTCCGATGCAGGGCAACAAGGCCTGATGCAGTGGCTGTTGCGTAGAGTAAAAGCAAAACTTCCTTTTGATGCTAATAAATTATATGCCAGTGAGCTTCTTTCGATACTACTGCAGCAAACTCCTGAAAATCGATTACTGCTTGGTGATCTTGATGGAATAGATGTTTTGCTACAACAACTAGCCGTAAGTATCAATGGGTTTACTTAGTTCTCTTATTTGGATGTTATTTAAAGTATAATAAATTTTTATTCTTTTCTAATAATTTAGTATTACAAGAGACACGATCCTCAGACTGCAGAAGAACAAGAAATGATGGAAAACTTATTCAACGTATTGTGCTCTGCATTGATGGCTACAGTGAATAGAGACAGATTTCTTCGAGGAGAAGGACTGCAATTAATGAATCTCATGTTGCGTGAAAAAAAGCTGTCTCGTAACGGTTCTCTCAAGGTAAAACACAGAATAGAGAAGATCATTTATTTTAATGTAATAAATACAGGATTTATCACTGCCATAACTAAAAATTGTAGGTTTTAGATCATGCAATGAACGGACCCGATGGCAAAGATAATTGTAGTAAATTTGTGGATATTCTCGGACTGAGGACAATATTTCCTCTGTTTATGAAAACACCCACAAAGAACCGAAAGAGGATGCTTACAGCAGAAGAACACGAAGGTACGGAATATACGAAATAAAAAATTTTCCAAGAGTAAATGTCTGTTAAACTGACTTCTATTTAAAAATGTTGCAGAACACGTAATCTCCATTATAGCTAGTATGTTAAGAAATTGTAAAGGTCAGCAACGACAAAGACTGCTTAGTAAATTTATGGAGAATGACTTCGAAAAAGTCGACAGGTTAATGGAATTGCACTTCAAGTATCTCGAAAAAGTAGAAGATGTGGAGAAATCAGCAAAGGTAACGGAGTGAAATGAAGAGAATTGCTAAGATAACATTTTTAATTATTACAATTATATTACTACCGTAGGAGGAAGATGACGAGGAAGAATCATATTTAAGAAGGCTCGATGGGGGCCTGTTTACTCTTCAACTAGTGGATTACGTACTTCTTGAAGCTTGCACTGGATGCGTACCTGCTATTAAACAGCGAGTGACAAGGATTTTGGCACAGAGGCGAGCGTCTCTCAAAACTATTCGACATATCATGAGGGGTAAGTCGTAAGATCGCACAGCGACAGTCAATAAATTTAATACTATATATAATTATATTATTAATAAATATTTACAGAGTATGCAGGCAATCTGGGTGATGCAGGTGACACAGAATGGAGAGAAGCTGAGCAGCAACATATATTACAATTAATCGATAAGTTTTGATATTCGCGCCTGCACTTTTACGGTAAGAGTGTTATTTTATACTTCGATCATGCTCACCGGTATGCCAGTAACGAATTTATTATTCGATACAAGCTTTATCGGTGAGATTCTGACAGAATGTGAAGAATAGTGGTGTATGATCCGCGAAAATACGAAATCGTCCGACTTTATAGAACAATTTTGTGTAAATATCGAGCAGTTTCCAGTAAAATGTCTAGATAATTATTACTTTACCAGCCTTTCTACACATTTTAAAGACAACCCCTCGAAGTGAGTACTCTGGCTAATGAATAATACTTTTTCTTTTTTTTCCTGTACATTGAAGCAAACGCAGGTGACGGATCTTTGACAGGACGGTAGTCTTTTTTTTTTCTTTTTTCCTACGCCTTAGGTTAGTGATTCGCGATCTCTGAAACAGTCATCGGTATCGATCCATCATCCGAATTGCAGTAATGATAAACTCGACGAAAGTTGCATTAAATGTGATCCCGACTTAGAGTCATCTTTTTCACAAATGTCATGAGCATTCCCGCAATCCATGCCCTGTGTAACATCGAAGTACGTGAAATGGAAGATGCAAGACTAGGACGCAGGGTGCCACCCGATTATGTCAATTTGGAAAAGAGTCGTCTCGATTTTGACCGACATCATAAAATCCTCCTACGAGTCCGAGAAGAGCGCCTGCGGGACCAAGGAACTCAAGAACCCGAAAGAAGACCTAGAGGTTGTCTGTAATTTCCGTTCCTTCCTCATCTCAAGCTTACAGAGGAGATTCGTCATTAAGAATAATTACATCAGCCATGTCAAGCGATTTTACGACCGCGAAAATGCGCTTTTCTGTCCGATGTATATTCACGCGTCGGAGGTCGCCTTACTCTGGGTGAGTAACCACCTCGAATATATTTCTCCCTTTAATTTCCAACGTTAGATATTTTCTCTGCGCTTTTATTACACGGGATCGATCGATTTAACCACTCGGAGAGTGGAGCGTACGAGAGCAGGGTAATCGTGCGGAGTTCTTGAGAATCACCTAAGACGGCTCCCTTCCATCTTCAATTGGATAATTAGCTGGAAAAATACGTAAAAAGGTCTCGAGCGAGTAAAACTCGCAAATTAGAGAAGTGGGGCTTCATTGATATTCCGTAGAGAGGAGAGCAGCGGCTTTAGGAGTGGTCTCGCTCGTAAAGGGGATATATCGCCGTACAGTCGCCGCCATTAATGCTCGGGTATCGCTCTACTTTCCCATTATCAAGTTAAGGGTCCCCGTAAATTTCGTCGCAAATACCGCGTCTCGTCTTAACGCTGACAACTGTACAGGGAATTCTAATCCCTTTTTATTTCGCGCCCGTCGATCGGTTCGTCTCTCTCGGCCCTTACCACTCTACGCGCTTCGCCTCTCTCTCTCTCTCTTCCGACCGTCCTCCCCTCTCGCTATCTCGTTAGACCGTCGTCATGGAGACGCACGTTGCGCGCATGCGCGCGGACTCGCCAAGCAGAAGTCGAGCGCGGCGCGCGCACCCGTCTCGCGGCCCCGCGCGGACCCCCAGTTTTCTCGCAACCACCGCGCAGTGAGGACGGTCGGTGTGTGATCCGCCGAAAGGGTCTATTTCCGTCCGGACGGCGCCTTTCCGAGGGTGTTCCGTCGTTAAACCGAGCCGAGTTGCGGTAGACGACGGCCGCGCGGGTCAACGTACGCGGATCGGCCGCGATTCACTCCAAGTCCGGACCCCTCGGTGTCTGCCTTTTTATCGAAGCGCCGGACAGGGTTGGGTACGTCAATTACTAGCGGTGATACACGTCGCTTCTATATTTACGTTATTCCCTTCAACACATAACCTCCAGTATACCTTTTACGTATATCGATACCTCGAATTTATATCCTAGAAGCTTTCTAAAGTAACGCTCGATGTCTCGGTGAATTGTTTTAGCAGCAATCTCTTGAAAGCGATGTGAGCCTTCCCTCGATTTTAATCAAGCTGGAATTTAAATGTCCAAATCGCGTTTGCACCCTACTATAGATCCCCCGGGGGATTATTTTTCTTCGAAAGTCCATATAGAGTAACGTGAAATCTTCCGCTTCTTCTTTTATGTATTTCGGTACGCGGAGATCTCGCCTCTCGTAATTAGCCACCCCTTGGCCCGAGCTTCGAGTTTCCGCCGCAAGCTCGCGAGCCTCGGCGGCGCTGCGCTCGTTCCTCGCCTCGAGCATTTACGCGAGATTTCCCGACGACACTTTAAGCGAGCCCTTCGTGAGAGTTCATTTCTCGCGTCCGATTACTCGATAGTTCCACACGTAGGTCGAGGGTCTCGCTCTTTATCGAAATTTTCCTGACGCAGCTTACCGCACTTGGTTTCCACGTGCACACGGGGATTATTATCCATGGCCGCGTGAGATTACCCAACCCTGGGCTCGGAGCTTCGCCGAATCCGGTCTACATCTCCTCGCAAATGTTTCTCCCCGGCCGGCGAGATCCGGCGAATCGACCGACGAACTCGATAGAAGATCACGTCGGATCGTGAGCGCGAACGCAAATCGGGATTTACGGTGCCAGGACGAGTTTTTCTTTTTTTTTCTGTGTGCCCCACGTGTGTGAAACCCGCTGAAGCACCGACGAGAACCGAGCCCTCCACGACTGGACGACACTTCCTCGGTAAGTTAGCACCCGGGAACGGGAAATCGAGTCGAGGGCCTCCTCTCGACCTCGACCCCCGAGGTCGCCTCCAGAAGCTCCTGCCTTCTTCGCCCTACCTCCGCTAATTAGCCGTTAAGACCGTCTTAACCTCCAAATCCGGAAGCCTGCCTGGCACGGCCATCGCTACTTCGCCAGGCCCCAAATCGAGCCCGGTAATAATTCAGGAAAATCGCTCCGCCTTAAAAAAGACGTAATTAAGAGTGCCGAAAGACCTGGAGCGAGGATTTTCCTTAAGGCGGCTCGAAAGTGGCGTCCTAAACTCCACAACATGCGTACGAAGGCCCTAAGTAAGGTCTCACTATTTTTCCCCTTCTTGAAAACTCGTTTATAAATGTTCCTTTAATTTTGTATAATTATCATATATTTACGTGGTTGAATTTCGAGCGATTTGGTGCATTTAATTCGGAAACATGGGAATAAACGAGCAGCACATCGGATGCCACTTTCGTGGCGCCTTAAACCTCGCCTATGAGCCTCGTTTAGGGTGTCTTGGGTAGATGAACATGGGATTATATTTTGGAACCTGCTCGACTCGGGTTGACCGAGTTCCGCGGCCCTCGCACTGGATCACTTTTTAAATCGACGAGATGGGCTAATCGAGGACCTCCAATGAAACGGCACAGTTTGTGCTGGGAACTCCTCGATTAAGCCACTTAACCGAGTCGAATTCTGCGCAGTTGCATCCGGAGAACGTGGCGAATTTCATCGCCGAGTAACGAGGTATATAAGTCGTTACGTTGCTCTCGAGATACGCTTTTGGAAGGTGCGCTTTCATCCCGAATTGGAAGTAACCCGCGCGTTGGCCTCGCTCATTGATCGGCGAGGCTATGTAGGAAAGAAAAGGCCGCAGTCACGTATCGTGCGCATCATTTATAACGGATGCGTACGTAAGACTATACGTAAGGTATGAGAGGCGTGCGTAGTCGATACCGCGATAAGGAGGATAAATTTCGAGATCCATCGATGGTAGAGAAATTCCCTTAAGGACTTTCTCGCGGGGGAAGGGGGGGATTTTTCGAAAATTCCAGCCCATCGGGTCCGATCTATGTGGATGAAAGTATTTCGGTGGAAATGCGTCATAATCGAGGAATTGGAAGGGATATGATGCCGATCGGGCGAACGATAAAACGCAAAGAAAACGGACGATACCGATTAGACGACGTCAATAAGGCGCCGAGGGAAGGCTCTTATCCACCTACGCGGAATCGAATGGCACTGTTGAGTAAACGCCTATTTGAATTCACACCTGCGTGTCGCCGAGGTCCCACGTAGACGCTACCTTATATGTACGTTCTATCTTCCTTATATATACGTTCGATACCAGGGATCGAACGAATCCCCGGAAAATCCGAGGGACCTGGCTCGACGGTTTTATAGAGGTACCGCATGCGGAAAGGGGATTTCACCCTCGTAATGAGAAATTTACGGAGTCAGGCCGAGTGGTGAATTTCCCTTTTTTTTTCTTTTTTTTTTTTTACCCTGGATGTGGTATGACACTATAATTCGAGGACTTAACGCGGTCTCGTGGGAGTACTCGAAAATGGCGGAGGAGGCGTCTCGAGACGCTACGCCTGCGGAAGGAATTCATTTGAGAGGCGTTTCGTATTTATATATGTCGGGAATAAACTACCGCGAGCGGCGTAACGTCGACGCCGCGAGTGCGCTCCAGTTATCGGCGCACGCGAAAACGCGGCGTCTCCGTCGCCCTTCCCTGTGTCCGAGGACTTTGTTGAAACGGGAGCTCGAGGAATTCCCAGCCAAGGTCGCGGCCGTTATTTCCAGTGCGGTTTCTTTTCTCTCCGACCAAGTCCGATTTCGGAGTCGGCGTCGGTAGTCGCTCCCTTTCGGCGCTTTTTGACGCTTAAGTCGTTCCACCGTCGTCGGCTTAAGGCGACGCGAATGTGGCGACACACGGGCCCCCTTTATCGTTATTTACCGAATCGTATCAATCTTTACACCGTGAATTTCGAGGCTGTAAAGAAGGTCCTAACACCATGAAATTTTAATTTTTTTTTTGCGATTTCTTTGTAGACATTCAATCATTTTTTTATAAAGAGGGAAATTTTGGGGGCGTAGGGACCTTCCTTATTGCCTCCATGTTCATGTTGTAAGGTTTGAAATGAATAGTATCAATCTTTACACCGTGAATATCGAGGCTGTAAGGAAGGTCCTAACACCATGAAATAAAAATTTTTTTTTGCAATTTGTAGACATTTAATAATTTTTTTTTATAAAGAGGGAAATAAAGGGTCTATGATGATATATGATATGATATGGTTCTTGCGAAAGGGTCTAGTTTATTATTCGGCGATTGGGCGGCGCCCTTTGACAAAGCCGCGAGAAAGTTTGAGTACGACTAGACGGCGTATATCTCGACCTCGCCTCGTCTCGTGGCTTTCCGATCCGTTCCTCTTGTAAATGCGGCAAAAGTGGGACGAGCGGTGTCCCCGCTCGGTCCTGAAACCCGCGGTTTTGTAATCCCTCGTGCGCCTCGTTTCGGAGGCGTCTCGGGATGCCAGTAGTACCGCGGGT